TYTTTTTGAAAGAAGAGGTAAAGCATAAAAGCTGATAGCGCTAGACTGATTAGCAAGTGCTGCAAATCTGTTTAAACTATCGGTATTGTTTGTTCGATTCGCCATACCCGAACGCTTRTCGAATCGAAGATAGCTCATATTGATTTCGGTGACAAATATTTAGTCCTGAATTTTTTTCGAAATCATTGAACATAACATTCTATTTCCTGTACTTTTTTCTCTGCGTTATACTGTCCAACAGTTGACCATCAACCACCGAATTTGCTAATACCTTTTCGCTTCAAATACTTCTGTTACAGRTGTTTGGAATTGTCATAGTAGTTTTAAGTGCATTAGTGATGAAGGAACTMGGTGCGGCAAGTAAGCCAATTTGTATTAGTTTGATCGTCTTCGGCAGCATAATACTTTGCATCTCATTTGTTGGCTGTTGCGGAGCGCTAACCGAAAGTTTATGTTGCATATGGACGGTATGAATAACGAATCTATTTTATTGTTTTAATTCGAACTTTCTTTAATAAATTTWTAGTACGTCCTATGTTTGTTGGTACTTCTCGTGTGTAATGTGATAAACATAATATATATAAACAAGGCTGATAGCGCCGAACATGCACGCAAAGACGTCAATATGGCGTGGCAGCATATGAAAGAAGGTAGCGATGTAACAATGCATATGTTCCAAAGTACGGTATGTGAAAAATAAATAAAAAAACTTGTTTCATTTTTTTTTTTGCAAAATTACAAAATAAGTTTTTTACGAAACACATAATGCCGTATTTTGAGCTTGTAATGAAGTCTAATTTTTTTTACCTAGATGGAATGCTGTGGCAAGACAAATTATAATGACTACATGACCGCAGGTATACCAATACCGATATCTTGTTATAGGGACGYCAATATGTCACCTGAAAATTTATATCAAAGGGGCTGTTTAGGTGAACTCACCGATAGTTATAGATCTTCCTTCAAGCGAATRTATTACTTCAGTTGGGTCGTATTTGCTATTGAGGTGAGGAATTTATTATTTGTTCAATTTAAAAATATTATTTATGTAAATATTGAAAATATCCGGTAGGAGGTAATGCACTACAGGTTTAGTCTGTGAGAGCGCCTTCTACCTTTCTAATGCTGATAATATTTTGTTGTTTATTTYGAACCMTTTTTGATTGCTTTCAYTCYCCTTGCAATCGATAAATACTRGTCCTTGATGTAGCTTCWTCGTCAAATATTGAATTAGGTTCATCTATTCACGCATGATGAGTTTACGGGGATTGCGTCCAAATAATAGTTTTTATATAATTAAAAATTTAATTCCATTTTTTAACTGTAAACAATACAAATTATGCTTGTACATATTTCAAAACGTTCTGAGCATGCATACTCTCAAAAATGTCAAATCGATACGATAAAATTGTGAGTTAACAGATTGCAACACTAGTGCTGCCAAATCCCGAAATATAAAAGGCAACCTACGTATTTACCTTTATACAGAGATTAAATGTCTAGTCTGGTAAATTTTTAATAGTTTGATTGATAGACATTTTAAGTAAAGGGTATTCTTTTAGTGTTATGTTCTAGTTTTATTGCATATTTTTCAAGTAAAAATAATATCGATAATTTCTTTMCTTATATTTCAGGCCGCTTCTTTAGTGCTTGCAATAGCTTTGGGTGTTGCTTATCAGCTGGAGGACTAACAGAGCAAGCCGAAAAGGCGCAATGCCAAGTCCTCAGAAAGAAATTTTATTATAATTCCTAATTTCAGCATTTTGTAATAAAAATATGTACTTTTAAGAATTTTACTTGCCTTCGCTTTCTCAATACGTTTCTTCATACTCTACCAACATGTACAAAGTATAATGGGTTAATTCACCTAACRGTTGTTTGTATYACCTAATTGWGATAGATGGCGAGACGAGATGAAATCCAAACGCCTTCCATCGAAAACCTATAAAGTACCATAACTATGCACTAAGTTATGAAGATAAAAAACTATATAGTGACACAGAGGTGCGCAGTAGCAAGGCGCAGCCGTGGATTAAATATTCTCTTGTAGCTTTTGTCCGTCGTTCCTTCGCTATAACAAGAGAGTCGAAGTTATGTCCGCATGTCAATGACCCTGGTCAAACGTCTATCTCTCACAACATGATCGATGGSCTCCGAATTTTTCGATCCGAAGACAGCCAAGTAGCTTGATGAATTTTCTTGGGCTGGAATCTAGTATTACAAAAAGCAATATTTCGGGGCTCTGCGAAGTCAATCAGCATTAACCCATTTGGAGAGATTTGCCATAGAGGCTGAATTTTCCAGCATATACCAAACATGCATTCTTTGCCCACCGTGGCATTAAAGTCGCCAAGCAAAATTTTACATCGTGTCGGGACAGTCGTCATAATCGCTCTCCAGCCGCGCATAAAATGTGTCTTTTGTCATATCGTCGTGGGAGTAAATCAGTGTTATGTTGAAAAAATGATGTTCATCAACCGGAGTGAATGCCAGAACTTAACGATTGAGTCTTTCTCCTACCACGAATCCCACACCGATTTACCTATACTTTGTATGGCCGCTGTAGTAAATGTTACAAGGATCTACTTGTCTCCGTCCTTGTCCCGGCCATCACATTTCTTAAATTTTTCATTGGGAGTGGTTTCTATGTGGCGGGTCCTTAACTCAGCATACAACCTTGCTAGGCGAGTAGCATAAAGTTTTATACATATTTATATAACGAGCCGCTTGTTTCAAGAACGACGCACCTTTAGTGAACCGGCGGTGCATTTCGACATCAGCGAACCCTTAAACCGAACTACTCTCTTTTAGACATCACCATAGGTCACACACGGGTTGGCTACAGCACCTTACACAAGGTTCCCCCTGTGGGTAGGGGGAACCCCTCCGGGTTCGAGGGGAAACCGAATATACCCGCGGCAAGGCATACCTGTCGTAAGAGGCGAGTAAAAGCCATGTGCACTATGTCAGGCTTTAGAGACCATGCTTTGATGTCAACATGGTCTAAGTCAGATAAGTGCTAGAATATTCTGGTGGAAGTCAAATTTTTAGCTTTATATTTATATCACAAAATATAAGACATTTGTCACAGCGACAAATGCAACCAGTCATTGAGTTTTTGGAGACTCAACTGGTGGTAGCAAAAGCTACACCGTCAGACCAAAGACTTAAACCTGGTACCAAGGGGAGCAGTAAGCTCTTGGAGGTAATTGCAATCTGCTCATTCGGTTTGGCCCTTTGTGGTGATTCGTGGTGGCTGTGGTTTAAACCTAAATGCAGGAAGGACATTTTGTCCAATGTGGAGTCGCACTGCGGCCGGCTGCCGGACCCAAAGTAGGGCAGAGGTTTTAGATGGGCCTCGAACCCGACCAAGGTGACTAGGGTGTCCCTATCCACCCGAACGGGGCGCTGATCAATGCATTGTATTGATCTATGTGCTTCTAGCAATAGAAAATAAAGTTTAGTCTTTATAGACACGTATTCACGTAAAAACACATTGACATTCTTACACAAGGTTTACTCAAGTTTCCATGGTGCATGACGAAGACGTAAGGGTAGGTTATTACATAACGTTATTGGCTCGTTTGAAGGACTAAATCGTCGAAAAGCGGAATTATTTCAAGAAAGAGAAAGTGTTTCARCAAGACAATGCACTGTGTCATAAGTCAGTGAAAACGATGGCAAAAATCCATGAACTGAGATGAGAATTACTTCTACATCCACAATATTCTCTAAAGGTGCGCCGTAGCGACTATTTTCTGTTCTAAGATCTCAAAGAATGATCGCTGCGTAGAAATTTTTCGTCGAAATTTTCTGAAATTGACAAATATTTTGAGCAAAGGACAAATCGTACTACAAAAATGTTATCGAAAAGTTGGAGGTTCGGTATCATCAGTATTTTACCTTTGAAGGGAACTATGTTGAATACAAAAAGCGAATTATGCCAAACATTCAATTGACCAATACACTATACCCATGACAATATATATACCTATGGGTTCAAGTTTACAAGAAGTAGTTGTTTTCGATTCGCCAAAGGTTAAAGAGTGGCGAATGGAACAAATTCGATTTTAACTTGCTAACTTTGTTGTTGTTACTCTCACATTTAATTTTTTGACAATAGAGCTGCAAAATGACTATTCGAACGCATGTGTCATAATTTTTTTTTATTTTTTATCGTCCTTATACCCATCATATAAGGCAGCACTCCTCAAATTTATTTATTTTTCTATTTTACTAACATTTGTAAATTGTAACCGAAGTTCAAAAATTATCAGTGAATATTTGTAAATTTGAGGGAAGCTCTTTCTTAAGCAACCTAAATGAATTGTCTAACARTAACAATAAAGTATATTGTGGTGTTTTTTAACTTTTTGTGCGTGGTGAGTATCGGAATTTTGAAGAAAATCTTTAGGAAAGTGTGGATTTGAAGAAAAAGTTTTATTGTATTGATTTTTTTTTTCTAGAATGAAAGTTTGAAATGAAAAAAGTTTTTGTGCGATGTTTTTTTTTTTATTGTTTTGTCCCTTTTTTTTGTTTTGACACAATAGTGATCGATGAGAAAAAAAAAAAAATTGGCTGACAAAATATTTTTCTCAATCAAATTAGATCTTAACGGTGTTCATAAAAACTTTACGGGACATCAATTATATGACACCTTTTTTACTTTTTCAACATGTTGCTACAGAGTATAATAAATATTTTTGTTCGCCTMACGGTTGTACGTATCACCTAAAAATTCTTTCACAGGTGTTTGGAATCGTCATTGTTGTGTTGAGTACAYTGCTGATGAAGGAACTTGGTGCGGCCATTAAGCCAATTTGTATTAGTTTGATAGTTTTCGGCAGCGTAATACTTTGCATCTCATTTGTTGGCTGTTGCGGAGCACTAACCGAAAGTTTATTTTGCATATGGACGGTATGAATAGAGAAATAACTTATTGCTTTTAGTAAAATAATTCATATCTTTTATTTAACAAATTTTTAGTACGTCATATGTTTGTTGGTAGTTCTCGTGTGCAATGTGATAAACATAATATATATAAAGAAGGCTGATAGCACAGAACATGCCCGTCATGACGTCAATTTGGCGTGGCAGCATATGAAAGAAGGTAGCGATGTAATAATGCATATATTCCAAACTACGGTATGTTAAAAACCATTTGAAAACTTTTTAAATTTTGTTTGCAAAATTAAAAAATAATTTGTTTTACGAAACACATAATGCCGTATTTTGACCTCGTAATGAAGTCTAAATTCTTTTACTTAGATGGAATGCTGTGGGAAGATAAATTATAATGACTACACCAACGCAGGTATGCTAATACCGATAAGCTGTTATAGGGGCTACAGTATGATGCSTACAGATTTATACCAAACGGGCTGTTTAGCTGAACTCACCGATAGTTACAACACTACCTACAAACACATGTATATCGGCAGTGTGGTCATATTTACCATTGAGGTTAGTGATTTATTATTCGATCAAGTTTAATCATTAATGTAATAACATAGTCTTTTTGTATAAAAATCTGAGTTATCCCGGAGGAAGTAATAAGAGAGCGCCTTCTATATTTCTAATGTTGATAAGAAGTTGTGGTTCGATGCCTCTTTGATTGCTATTGAACACAGTCTTACTGTGTCTTATAACACAGGTCAATAAAAAAAAGGTGTTTCGGTCRTAGGTTTTACTTAATTAGTATATACGGTTATTTAGTCAAATATTTATAGGAAATTTCGATTACAAATCGAAAATATTASCTTTTTAGGCAATTATATCGATTTGACCATTTTTGATTTACAGGCCCATATAATGCCGGKCTTCGCATATATTCCGAATTCGCTGTGATGTCTGACCAAAAATACCACYTCTCATGAACTTTGAAGCCTTAGTGATTTAAGGAGATACTTAAGGCTACCACACACAAACCAGAGTTATTGGTATCCTTATTAAAAGAATGGACGTAAAATCTTTCCTGTTTCTTTAGTAAAGGCGATRTACTCTGTGCTTATTATGATCTGGAAGATGTATTTGAAGAGAATGGTATTCTTATCACACAACTGAAAGCGCCTTTTTATTGATAGTTCAACAAAAAGTCTAAAAGCTGTTTTAAAGTYCCATTTCGAGGTTCTCTACCTTTTTAAAGAAAGATACAGAAACTTCTAATTAAATGGGCATATTTCTTATGATTCGAAAGAATATTCTTTAGCACTGATGTTTTGAAGATTATCTCTTTCAAATGTTCGCAGTGGCTACGTCTCAGATGGTCCATCCGTTGAGTTCAATTTTTGGTGGCATGGTAACTTCCGAATGACACACGTGATGATTGGTTCCAAGGCCTGAACCGAAACGGGATTGTTCGCATAGACTTAAGACTTTACATATCCTCTTAAGTGGCCAATCGACTGGCCCAAAACGTGAAATTATCTGCTCACCGWAGTGTTATCTCAATAGATCTATTGATTGATGCGATGTGTGGGACGTTGTGCCATCCGCCGTCTTGTTGAAACCAAATGTCGTCGAGATCCCAAGCTTCAATTTCAGGCGTCAAATAGTCGGTGATCATCACGCGATAACGGTCGCGTTCATTTTGAAGAAATATAGACCGATGATTACACCAAACCGATCTGTTTTCTGAATGAAATGGCAACTATTGAATCTCTTCAGGTTCGTCCCAAATGCGGCATTTTTGCTKGCTTATATARCGGTTYAGCCAGAAATGGGCCTCATCGCTGAACAAAATTTTGCTAGAGAACGTCGGATCTTCTTGGAACTTTTYAAAAGCCCATAAGGCGAAGCGTTGTCGCTTGGGAAGACCGAGCGGCTTCAGTTCTCGCACAAGCTGAATTTTATACGCTTTCATTTAAAGATCTGGACGTAAAATGCACCAAGTCGTTCCATAAGTCAGTCCGAGTAGCTGTGAACGCCGCCGAATCGATTCTCCACGGTTTTCGTGTACACTCTCATCTACGGCTGCTAAAATATCACAATCTCAATTTTATTTTTACCACCAGTGAAGAAAATACACTACGTGCTGAATGTGGTCTACAGGTCCTGTATTCGGTGGAGACTTCAAGATGCTGTGGGTTGTGACTGGAACGCAAGGTGGGTACATTAGATGCTCCTGTTATTTTACCTGGGTGATATTAGGATAGATGCTACTTACAGAAAGCTTTGTAAGAACATCTAAAATAAACAAAATTAGATATTGTGATATTTAACAGAAGTCGTTTAGCAATGTGGAAAAAGCCCTCGAACAGTTTTAAGGCAGTAGATCATGATTTTTTTTTGGAAACCATACAATTGTCAATTGTGACGAGCTGAKCACATGATTACGAATTTCGCCAGCATCGGATCTAGAATGTCTCTAATACACAATCTAATGAAAGCTAATTCCAGTCCATAGAGAAGTAATAAAATAACTTTACCGGTGAATTAGTTTCATCTCTCACTATCCCAAATCGAACCAAAACTTGTTATGTACTGAATATGAGGAACAAGTACTTACAGTTGACTTTTTACCGATAGCGATATATTTTTATCATCGGCCAATATGTGAGTTATCTAAATAAAATATACATTTGTATTTAAAAAAATCGGGTAAAAGCTGCACTAGACCCCTTATGTACTTGAAGCTACTTTCCTCGCAGAACTTAAACCTTCATTATTTGTTTTTTAGTAAATATAATATCAATAAGTTCTTTCGTTCTATTTCAGGCCGTTTCATTAGCGTTTGCAGTAGCTTTGGGTGTTATTTATCAGCTGGACTACTAACAGAATAAGCTCAACGCTCAATCCGTAGAAGGAATACAAATTAAATTATAATATAATTCCTTATTTAAGGAAATTCCATCCATCCATTTTTAATAAAAATATATTTTTTGGCATTTTTGCTTTTATTCTTAAGGGTATTTATTTTTTTATTTTTTGTGTGTTGGAAAATAAAATTAATCATAAGCTTAAATATGTAAACATGGCCACTCTTGTAAGCCAATAATTTTTTAAGAGCGCATTGGTAGTACCGTTTTGATAGTACAGAAGCCCTTTAATATAATATCAGTGCCTTCCTCTGGTGAGTTTATTATGGTAGATACAAGTGTACGATTTGATATATTGTATTTACTTAGATATACTATGAGTGTAAGTGATTACATGTGTGTTTCCTTTCCTGTCGTTTAGTGTGAAAAGCAGATAATTTGTTTACGCTGAAACTTTCTTGACAAGTAATTGTAAATGGCTGTCAAAATGTATTGTACTATAATTGCTTTTATTTCAATTTTYATTAAACGAACAAATAAATATTGTAGAATGTCTTGTAAACAGTATAAAATAGTCTAAGTCAGGCCTTTTCAAACATTCTGAATGTCTCGGCACAAGAAATTTGATTCGGCACACAAAATTTAATTGAACTTCTTTGTTGAATAATTTCTCTTATCGTAAAAATCGTCTAACGCATACTAAACATTAATGATTATTTTGATGTGACATTTGGCACAGATGCCACTGATGGTCAGACCAACCTAGAAAAAAATATTTCGACGAATTGGTTTTCGCGTGAAGTTTTAACTAAAAATCCTTATTATTTTTTACCCACAGTAGTATTTCTCGTGAAAAGAAGAAACGACTGGCGCGCGGTTGTTAACTCGGCTATAATCGCGTAGGCGGTGACTACGTCAATCAAGAAGAAGAAGAAGAAGTATTTCTCGTGGGTTGAATTAAGAAGAAATGACTCATACGCCTAGGCTAACTTCWGATAAATAAATTATGCGAATGGTACACAAATTTTTTATGTATTTGAAAACAGTAAAATCTCATTATATTTGTATTGTTACAATTATAGTCATCATATGGCCATATTTTCATAAATATATATCATTTTTCACTTGTTCATGAGGAAAGAACAGGTTAATRTGCGTGATCAGCTGAATCGATTTAGCCATGTTCTTCGGTCTGTCCATACGTGTGTATGTATATACGCAAACTAGTCGCTTAGCTTTTGAAAGAGATGTCGATATGAAATCTTGCGCACGTCCTTTTTTCCTTAAGAAGAAGAAGATTGGATCATTACAACACATAACAGTCATTCGAACTGTTCGATGAAAATCGTTATTTATGTATGAAAAACTTTYTTATTTGATAAGATATCTTTACAATAGTTTACATGATTTATTTTCCAAGACATCAGTAAAGTTTCATAAGACATTTTTCAGGTTGATTTCATATTTCTCAAAAGGTGTTAAAGCTCCTACTGATGTTCTTAATTTACAAAATTGTGCCAGAAAAAGCACTAAGCTAAAACCCAATCTTCCGTATAAAAAAGACATGGCCAAAAGTATTGCTGTCAGGTTCGATCAATTATTAAAGCTTTGCATACTGTTTGCTTTCATTATTTTGATGCATACAGAATTCCAAATCAATTCATCGTTACTACAGGAGTAAATGTCTAACAGAAGGCCAGCTTAATTCCCATACCAAATGCAAGTAATAATTTCAAATAAGCATAAGCATTAAGCACCCTGTAAGTAATATATAAATATAAAAAATTGAACTTTTGGCACCTTAAAATAGGCGAAATTACTAAGGCACATCTACAAACATACTAAAGTAATGTTAGCWACTACTTCTCTACGGTATGGCGGATGGAAAACACATTAGAAGCGATAAAAGCGGACAGTTAATGGAAAACATTTGAGAATCGAGCACGCCTACAATAGAATTAGATTTCAGTAGAAGGGAAAACAAAGCACCACACTTTTGTAAGTGTAGATAGCTGATATAAAGAAGAACAATAGARGCGAAAAGTAAGTGGCCAAAATGCGCTTTTCAGTCAGCGCGCCAATTCAGTACAATTTACGACGGTGGGATCAACGAACGTGGGTGTAAGAAATAAAGTGCGGAGTTGGCAAATGGATCGAGTAAAGGCGTGAGTACAGGGAGGGTTGTGCTAAAAGTAGTGAAAAACTTACTGAAAGCAAACAGAAGTAAAGTTATTGGTAGCACAAGAAAAATAGATACAAAATTAGAATTAAAAGGAAGAATTAGAGATATATTGGACGCAGAGATAAGAAATTGAACTATGGAAGAAAATTGTTGTTGTAAAAAAGTTTGTATGGTCTAAAAATATTGTTAGCTGCTGTGCTGACATGCCTCTACCGCGTTCCGCTTGTCGGTGGTTACCTGCCTTCCGACTGCCAATTGCTACAGACTTTTTGCCGGGAAAAAAATTTAGTGTTGCTCACCGAGCCGCTCTCTCTGTGCGTATGTATGTGTGTTAGTTTCGAAACTTTTGCGGTTAATGTGTGAAAAGTTGTGTTAAACTCAAAAAAAGTAGAAGTTTCTGTGTTGTGTTTACCTAAGTTCTGAACTTCTATAGACAGCGCACACACATTTATGCAAACACATGCAATTCTATTGAGTGGAAGTTTGTGTGTGTGCGTTTGGAATTTCGCGCAACACTTTAATTGCAAATTAAAACTTGTGGTATTATTGAAAATTGGCATGTAAACAGCGTCGTAATTTGCCTATCTGGCTGGTATTGAGTTACATCGGCTCATGGTTACTCATACGCCATGGCATACACTTGTGCAGCCATGCCAGCAGTAACCTGCTTTGTATACAGCTTTGATTTGTAAAGTAAATATACATAGCGCAACGTGTGTGTATTTTTGTAAGTTGTTTCTCTCACGTCAGTGAATCAATAACAATTTAGAAATTTCAAGCAGCAATGTCGGCGTTGTAAATGAATACTTTAATAGCACAATCAAATTGCAGTGTTTTGTTTGTGCAAAGTCTTCGGTTTTGTATATTTTTATAACTTGTATATTAAGTTTGCAATGAAGTTTGTAATACCCTGAAAAAAGCGTCGGAGATTTTATAAAATATGTATATAAGTGATCAGCATGATGAGCTGAGTCGGTTTAGTCATGTCCCTCTGTTTGTATATCCGCGAACTACTCCCTCAGTTTTTGAGATATTGATTTGAAATTTTGTACACATAATTTTCTCCTCAAGAAGCTACTCACTTGTCGAAACCGCCAATATCGAAACATTATATCATATAGCTTTCATACAAACTGATAGATCAAAACCCAGTGCTTGTAAGGAAAATTTTTTATTTGACGAGATAGCTTCTCGAAATTYGCCATCTGTTATTATCCGAACCAATTTTAAAATCTCCGAAGAAATTATTCAGATCAGATTACTGTAGCATATAGCTCCCATGTAAACTGACCGATAAAAAAATGTTAAGTATTAAAATCTTTTGTATTTGTGAAGGATATTATATCGAAGTAAATGTTTTTGGTGTTTTTTTTTATATTTGCAAGGGTACATACATACATACATATTGCGAAGCTTTCATTTGGTAATTTAAACCAAATTTCTGTTAGTATAAATCATTTAAAGATTCGCTATTACTTATAAAGATACATAGTAATACATAATTGAAAATGTGAAAATGATAAAAATGACATTGTTATACATTAGTTTTCTTGCTCTAGATAAGATACCGATTTTGTATATATTTGTGCTTACAATTCCTGACACTATCAGTAATTTTGTAAATTTGGCTCTCCTTTATTTGAACGTTACAAAAATCAGAGAAGATGAAAGAAAATAACAGATATGTATATACCATATGCTCTCCTTTTCAATTACTAGATGGCTGGGCTTCGCGGAAGCTTGGCCAGCGCTGGGCCACAATCGGTACATGCGCTGTCGCRAAAGCATTTTGGCTCAAGATCGATCGCAAGAGATCKAGTGATCTGATAGATTGCARCGATTTCTGAGAACTTGGAAGCATTACTATTTCGGAGGGCATGTTGATTATTTTATCAACGCAAAGAAATATTATTTTTGAGTCGACATTTAGTAGGCGGTAGGTTTAGATGTCTCGACGTTGGATTTTAATTGAACCTTCGTACCTTGCGCATAATTTTCCTCATATTTTCGGTAAAGAGCTAGAGAGTGGTATCACATGAAACATGCATGTGCTAAAAGGTTGCAAAACTATAATCATGATGGGAAAAAATAATAAGCCTATTTTTAATCAAAATATAAAAAATTCAATTATCAAACYATAAAGAGCACATACAATACTTTCATGAATAAATTCGTATTCTGGACATTTGAAATCATCGAAATATGCTTAGATATACAGGGCGGTAAAAAGTATAATGTGATCGATTTTTTCTAAAAAGTATATATTTTATTTAATTGAGTTTTATTATTGTATTTCCTACATACATAGTCGCTTAAAACTTATTATTCTACCTACACTTATTAGTGGTAGAGAAGTGCTTAGTGTTATATTCTTAGAAAAATCCTGTATGGAACAGTTAGTAGTTCTTTTCTCCTGTCTGAAGTTATATTTAACACTCCGATTCGCTTTTCGAGGCAGTTTAGACCCTTACTGTTAAAATCTTGTAGATCAAATTTTGAACTTARCGAACGATTTCGTTGTCTGTCATGAATTTATTTCTTATTCTCAAAAGTGAATTTCTGAATATATGTAGCCACGTTAATATAGCTTAGTTGTGCCAATTTTGGGTGGATATCTGCACTGTAAGTTGCTAAATAAATGCCCTTCCACAAGGATGTTTATTTAATAATATATTTGTAATTATCTCAAACTGTTTAAATTAATTCATATTATAACCTAAAAAAGCATATATCAAGCCATAAAGTCTAACGTAAAAAACAAAGTCAATAGAAAACTTCTGGTCAAAACTTGGTTGATACTTCGCTCATAAATCTAATCGAACTTACTGCAACATTTCTAATCTATACGTTTCTATTAAGCCAGCATATTTAATTTAATTTGATTTGTGGTTTGATTTCTTTAAGCCCTTTCAAATCCCAATTATTTCCAATCAGAGAGAGATTATGTTTATATCAGAGCTGATTACATACCAGTGTGAGAACATTTCGATTACTTGGGGTTACGATTGACATTACAGTATTTGTAACTATTATTTGCAAAGGTCCAAGAAATCGTTGAGGAGCTTCTTTCGCCAATAAAATGAAAGAAGTGTTGTTTGAGAATCGACGATTAATTGTCAGAGATCTTACTGACATCGTTGGAATATCAGAACAATCAGTGAAAACTATTTTGAAATATGTGGGTGGTGCTCTCCGAATTCGTGCGACTTCTGTTTATTTAGCAAACTGAAACGATCGCTCCGGGGAAACTGCTTTGAGTTAATTGAAGACATAGATTTTTAAGAATAAACCTAGAATTTTAAAATTATGAACAAATTGCTACTACTTTTGCTCTTAATGGTATTATAGGCTTTTGGGGTCGCTGAACACGAATCCGTAGCTTTAAAAAACATGGTGAATTATGTGTGGTCAACTCAACTTTTTATACTTTTTATAAAATATGACAAATTTGCTTAAAAATTGTTACTTGGATTTAATTKAATTTATATAACCATTTTATAGGGTTTATTTGGGTGTAACAAGCACCTTGGTAAACTTAGCAAACTCTCTCCAAGGTATAAAAATACAATTATTCTCTCAATCATTATATTTGAAGTCTCGAAACGACCTCACACGGTATACAGATATATATATGTATACATAGTATTATATTTTCAAAACAATTTATAAAAATTGTTGCCATAATGCACATATGCCAACACTATTGGACTGAAGGTCTTATGGAACATCCCCCTACTTGTCAAATTCTTGCGCTTACAGCCGATCGTTGGTTGCAGCTCAGCGACTTATTTGCACGACAGGCTTGTGGGTGGCGTCATAGTCACAGCTAATGGTGATGATTTATGGCTTGCAACACGCCAATAGCAGCGAAAAGTAGCAAACCTCAAATGTCACAATCTCGCAGAAATCAACGTAAGTTGTATGCAGCCAAAGGGAGCAAAAAGATAGAGGCGGTTGACTGGCGGTAGTGAAAGCTTGGCATTGAGAGCTGACTGTCTGCCGCTATCTGCTATCACAGCTAGTTGTATGTGTAATAATAATTGATTTGAGTGTGTGTGTGAGCTGTCGCCAGCGAACAACTCAATTGTCGGCGGCGAGTATTTGACGCGTTACTGTGGCTTTGTCGCAGTGCGGCGCCACAAAAGCGATTCAGTTGCATGCGCGTTGCATTTCTGAAGGCTTGTCAAGTGGCTGTTCCGGTGTTTCTGAATAACATAACTTTGAGGCACAAATTTTASTGAATTATTAAAAATATATATTCGCATATATTGATTAATAGATTGACGGATCGATTGATTGATTGTCGAAAATGTCCGCTTGGCCTGCCGTGCGAAAGCAGTAATATGAAAATTGTGTTTTTCAAATATTTACTATATTAAATTTACAAAAAATAAATTATATACAATTGAAACTATTCTACTGTGTCTCCGTCTTTGTTRTTGTAGAATAACCGCCTCAGTGCGYACCACAAATCGCATGAATGCTCTGCTYATGGAATCGATGTTGGGCAAGAAACGCGCCTTACAGAAGCTGCATTCCAACGCCGGTGAGGGCGAAGAAGTTGAATGTGCCGTCGAGAAGCCGAAGCGCGAGTGGGAATACTTTCGTAATAACTTCAGCATGGAAGCGGTTTATAAGCTGATTGAGACGGCTATTGAGGAGCGTTTAACGTGGGATCGCTTTGGTCGTTCCTATGATTCGTGGCGTTCGCTACAAATGGCCGAAACAYTGGCGGCGGATATACGAGATCGTGTGAAGCGCCTGCAGCATAAGAGGTAAGGAGAGCATAAAATTGCTGAAAAAGAAAGGTATTGAGATTTGGGCAGCTTAAAATTCTAGAAAAGGATATTTCAGCCTTCTTACTCTTTACTTTTATGTTTGACGATGTATACATAATATATTCCATAAAAACCAAAAAATAAAAATCGTAAATTTATGGCTCATTTTATCTCAGTTTTACCTTCAATGGACCGATTTCCGTTTCTCTCACCCACAGACATCGCATCGTTTGCCTGCTATCCATAGTGGAGAAACAAAACCAAGGCCTTAGCTTTCGCATGCGCCATTTACTGGATGAAAAGATGGATAATTTTACGAATTTGGTTTATGAACGGCCGTCTTACTACATGGTGGTGACTTTATTTTTGGTGTATAAGGACTGAAAAAAGCGGTTTTCCTTMAGCTTTTACGGCCTATAAAGCTTTTGTTGTTGATAAGTGGTTTGATGACTGAATATGCATGATGCTTGAAAGTTTTATTGTTGTTTGTATTGTTGAAATTCGGTTTAGCATAGCTTAGAACCAGTTAGGTAAAGCTAATAAAATATATAATAAGCAAAAACTTGAATATATGTAACTACAGCAAACGAAGAACGAAAACAATTAAACTTTAAACAGTTAAATAAATTGAAATTGTTAGTATTATCCATTTACAAACGAAATTTTTACTTTTCAATTTATTTCAATGAAAAAGTTTTTAAAAATGAACGTTAATTTCCATTAAAGGCCCCGGCGAGATTCGAACTCACGATCTCCTGTTTACTAGACAGGCGCTTTAACCAACTAAGCCACGGCGCCATGTTGGCAACCCTGCTGTGTAGGAATGTTAGAAAACGACCATAGACAAATATGATAACATGGATATAATGCATTGATTTTTTGATACAAAGCAATTCCAAACATTTTGTTTCTTRAAAGCTCCGAAGCAGCCTTTGGAAATGGTAAAAATTGAAAGAAGTTCATAGTGGATTGAAACCCATTGAAAACAAAAGATAAGCWAACAAAAATTTAATGAAAACAATTTACGAGCAATTTGAGGTCGGAAATAGGAAATGGAGGTTCATTGTTGAATTACGTTGAGGTCKACTTTTGCATTTTATGAGAAAAGTCACCATAGTAATGATGATATGTTTCATATTGTATTAACATATGGTAGATACTACAACAATGGGGGGTTGCTCTTCCGSGGCTGATGTTTATTTTTCATTGGGGGGTGATTTTTACGTGGAGAGGTCAAAACCTCTCGACGGGTCACATTTTCACTTTAGCTCGTATTCAAACGGATATTCTTTCGCTACCCAGAGGATACTTGGTCTAAGACCGWTTCGGGCCACTATCGAGTGAATGGGGCTTAGGCAACTTTCTTCACTTACTTGAACTTCTACACATGACTCCATCCTCCAAAACTAATACGGCTGTATAAACTGACGTCTGTATAAACTAACTTAGAAGTCACAGATAATTTCGTCTAYCTTYGRAACAGYATTAATACCAATAACAACCTCAGCCTCCAAATCCAATGCAGAATAACTCTTGCCAACAGGTGCTACTTCGGATTGGGTAGACGATTGAGGAGTAAAGTCCTCTCCTGCCATATGGTACAGAGACAGGGATGTTAACAACATCTGTTGAGTCGGCGTTACGGTCATGTCATCCGAATRAATGAAAACAATTAAGCTCTGGGAGTGTTTGACTCAGTACTCGCCGGGGGAAGCAGAAGAATATGAAGGCCTCCACTCCGTTGGAAAGACTAGACTTCTTACTTACTTACTTCAGCTTTCATATTCGTATCTTCTCGTTTTTGCGTATTTTTAGCAACTCTTCGGGACTTAGTATTTTCGTTTAACTTTTGTTGCTTGCAGGACCTTTTGGACGCTTTCGGTACATCTTTGCTTTGTACAATTTCCGTTTTGTTCTCTTTTTGTTTTTGTTAGTTTTTGTGTTCCTTTTCTATTTCAACTCTCTTTTCTACTTGCCATCTGAATTATCGGCAACTCTTTTAGTTTCTGATTCCTGTTTCCCTCGTATTTTATAGAACTTTCCTCTTTTCGAAAACAACTCCCTCTCTTTAGATTCGTCAGTGTTTTCAATAGTAGCTGTTCTTTTTTTTCGCCTTCTCAGTGCTTTCGGTAACAGTTGTTTCCTTTTCAGCTTTCATTGTGCTTGAAGTAGGTTCTTCTGTTTATTTATTAACTTGGCCTTCTTGTGTGCCCTCGTTGGTTTTATAAGATTCTCAGCGTTCGTTTTGAGTGTTGTTGCTATTACTCATTGTGTGGCCTTCATTATCATTCTATTCTATACTATTATTTACATTATCGTTCGGATCGCCCTTTTCTTCTATCTTTTCTATATTTTCCTTTCGAATCTCAACATTGGAATTGTTGAACTTACTAGCGCTATTTTCTTCGCAATTTTGAGTGGTTTCAGTTTCGGACATTTGATTTAGTGTTTAACTCTTCAAAGAATGCCGCAGTCTGCCCTATAGTTTTCTTATCAGCTGTTTCGGTGCGTTAGATTGCTTTGATTCGCAAGTTRCATTTTTCGATTGCTTTTCAACGATCAGTTCACTCTCTGACAGTTTATTAGTATCTTTATTAGATTTCGTTTTCCGTTATATTTCCAGTTTCCTAGTTTTCCATTTTAGCATTCGATAGTCGGTAGTTTTGTCATCTTCTGATTTTGCTTTTTTCTCTGTGAATTTTTCTAAATCTTTAATTGTTTTATCTATAGGCTCATCCTTCTTTTAAGTAATTTTTGCCTTTTGCGGAAGAACAATTCATGGATTTTGCACGATGATCAAGCACGATGGCATCGAACCATGATTGTGACCGAATTTAGAACCAAAAAAAACGCAATGAATGCCATATATCATTCACCGTGCGATTTTTGGAAAACAACCAAATTGAAATTGTCGCCCAATTGAACCCGTTTTCAGTRGATCGAAGAAATAAAACAAAACTTCTGATGGAGTTGAATACCCTCCCAAAAAGTGYTTAAGAAAAGAGTTTTCGAGGACTGGAAAAATTGTAGGCATAAGTGTATTACACCTGGTGGGGATCTTTGAAGGCGACAAAATAAATATTGATGAATATTTTGTGTTTTATTTACAATATCCGGGTAACTTTTTGTCAYAATGTATTTTTGGAAATGTATATATGAAATAAACTATTAAATATACCTATCTTTATTTAATACATTTATCAGTATATTCATCCACAGAACTTTCAATATTATGCTTTATAGTTCCGCCTATATACTTATTGCTGTAATATAAACCCCTCTTTCACAAATTTTCTTCATATTTCTTTTGTTTTCAATCTTTGTCAATTTTAAATTATACTTCTAATTTATTGCTTTAGACTTTCTCAAAAACTCGCATGTTAAAAAAACCAATTTTGTTCCAGTGATTCTCAAACTWGATCACTGTAGGCCCCGGCGAGATTCGAACTCACGATCTCCTGTTTACTAGACAGGCGCTTTAACCAACTAAGCCACGGCGCCACATTGCCAACCYAGCAGTGTAAGAAAGTGAGTAAGATAGCAAAGTTTTAACGTCATAGAGGGTATAAATTTATATTTCTTAACATAAATAAAAATACGTTTTTTAACATAGCACATTTGGTTTATAAAATGTAGAGTTTCTTGTTAAAGGACCATAATTCAAATATTCATTTGAAATGTTTTCTTAATTTTAAATAAATTATTTTTAAAAAATTACGTAATAAATGTTAAATCATATCTTAAATTTAAACTAGAAATGTATTTGACAGTTCAATAATGAACAATAATTTCTATAATTTGTTTTGGACTTTATATACGTTAATTGAATATAAACCCTTCCACAAYTTTTTGTTTTTATGTTTTATTTTGTTTAATTATTAATTTAAAAATTTTGCTTTTTTCTTATTTAAGAATTTCAAAAACTTKTTTATTAAAAACCTATTTTCCCAGTGATACCCAAACTTGGTCACTGTAGGCCCCGGCGAGATTCGAACTCACGATCTCCTGTTTACTAGACAGGCGCTTTAACCAACTAAGCCACGGCGCCATGTGGRGAAAGTTGCGCCAAGAAGTCAACAAGCGTAAGCAGGTGGAGAAGAGCTGWAGTTGAATTAATAGCACGCATTTTCAACGCATATCAATGGAATGTTTGTTTTTAGTATTTTATTGGAGGCGTAATTATAARTTATAGATAAATATGAGAATGATGTTCCAAAATATATTTTCAGTTATGAATTTGGGGTTTTCTCGGACGTAAATTATAACTGATATTTTAAATTTATACAAATTAAACTTTTTAAAATAAAATTTTTGAAATACCTGAACAAACATTAAATTCTCCCCATCAACTGTTTGCACACGATTATTTGATGACCAAACAAAAATATATACAAACATACACTCATTCATAAATATTCTAACCTAAAAGTATCCAGTTCCTTGTCGCATTTGTTGCTGCGTATACGTAACATCCGTTAATACTCCCGCCCGTTTGTGCTTAGCCAGCCGATTTCGAGTGGAGTACGTTGAGACCGATGAGTATCCGCCATTTTCGTGATTTTTACGATTATTGAAACAATTATTGAGGCAATTGCAACATGTTAAGTACCGTTGCCACGACCATTGCTACGGTGGCGAGAGCGTCAGTTGGCTTCGAGTGTCGTTTGACGTTCCAAATAAACAGCAGCAAACATCAAATATAAACAACAACAAAAACAAATGCCAATACAACTGAACTAAGAACAGCACAAATGTACAACAACAAAAATAAATAGAAAAGTACATATCAACAACGGCAAAGAGGCGGTGCGTCGGTGGAAGTCTATGTGATAACATACACTACATGAGCCGAATGTGCGTGCGTTCTTTTTGGTATGTTGGACCGGCTAGCAGCACATTTAGTGCGTCGTGCGGCGTTAAAAGCAGTCGCGTGGTTTATTTTATGGTTGTAGCGAAGACTATCGGCGGTTGTTGTTGTTGTGCAGGCAGTGTGAAGTGCTTGGGGCTGAGATTAAAATTCAAGTACCAACTTTATTGTTATTTTTATGAGTGGTTATATTGGAGCTACTGCCAACTTCCGCTGCTAACTGTTTTTCTGGTTTTTCTTGGGCAGTGATTGCAGTTAGCTGTTCATAAAAATTTGCTGATTATTGTTAAGCCGATTTGCGCAGCTGTCATATGTCATTAATTACTAGTTAGTTGTTTCAGCAGTTTGGCATTATTTTTGAGATATTTATAGATATGTTTGTGTATGTGTGTAAATAAATATACACTTGAAAACTGAAATATTTTTTTTTTTTTCAAAACTCATAGAACAATTCATCATATTCCAGCATTTGTCAGCGCAAAAGCTGATTAAACAGAGAATTAGTTAGTGAGAGAGTGAGAGAGAGCCGCTGTCAGATATAACGAATATATAATATAACAATTTTATAACCAAGATTCAAAATTTGTTTCTATATTACAGGCGATGTTATGTTATTTTGCATTTTAGGTRACCAAATACACTTTTGAGCCATTATTTCATATTGCCTAAAATTGACGATGTTAAAATTCTAAAATTCGGTATTAACGACTG